CCCGTAGTAAGATTGTTGCTTCACTTTTCATAAAACTCCTACATTGAGATTTTTAAAATTTACTGCATGATGCTAGGCATGAAAACAAAGGTATCTGCAACAATTCAACAAGCCGAATGTTTACAGAACGTTGCAGATAGTTAAATCATTACTTAAAACAAGAAGTATGTATGTATAATATCGAATGCATATTCCGGGTAAGATAAGCTTCATTATCATTCTCTCGTGTTTTTTTGTTTTTTTTTCTAACATCACGAATTCTTCTCACTAAAGACAATGAGAAGAATTCGTGTTGTTAGATTATTTTATCAATTTTCAAGAGACACTTTTTAAAACGGCTTAAGTTGTATGGTCGGTCTAATGTCTACATATAATAAAGGAAGTTCTTACTCAAAATCTTCATTTCTGAAGGATGCACACTAGAGGGCCATTAAAATCCTATGTTTCTTGCACATGTAAATTGTTTTTTTTCGATCGATTTAGATCTTTATGGACACACTGACACATACACACAAACACATTGACACACACACATACATATATATATATACATATATACATATATACATATGTCCGGTGTCCAGCAGAGATCCAGAACCGGACCATAGAACGTCCGGTTTTGGTGAAAGTCTCAAAATGAATGCCCCTCCCTAGCATAATGGCTATTGTGTCTCAAGAAGCCGGACGTTGCTATCTTTTCAGACGAGCATGGCGGCGCGCACGTGAGACCTATGTTACGAGAAGTAAAAAACGCAGTTGGGTAAAGCAGTCTAGTGATTGTTTATATAATAGTTTTCTTTATTATTAACATAATATGGAATGCAGTAGGGTAAAGCAGCCTATACTATACTATAGTCCAAATAAAGCAGTTTGTTTTTAAAGTCCAATGAAGAAAAAAAATTGCTACGGTGTGTTAAATCTGACACCAAATGCAAGTTGAGACATGTATAATAAAGTTCTTGGGTTTATGTTTTTGTGTTATTCACGGTTTTACTGAGCATGATCTTTAAATGCATACAAAAATTAATAGTTCAGCTTCACACAAAAATATTACTCTGCCCAACTGCAAATACCGGTTCACAGCATCACAGGTTGATCCGACGGGGGGAAGGGGGCCGATATGCCCGGTTTTCGCGTCACACAAATGTGGCACAATGAGACTTCTCCCGGTATTTACAGTATGCCCTGTAAGGATTACCCCAAGTTTTACATAGGCGAGACCGGTTGAGCGTTTGAGACAAGAATTAATGAACATAAACGATGTTTGATGTGCCAGAGAATCATATGCGTGCTTCGTTCATTTGCATGATGAAGGTCACCAGCTTCACTAGAGAAAAAAGTTAAATTAATCCATAAATCAGCTAATTCGTATGAAAGGAAAATGTTAGAATCTCTAATAATTACAAAAAGGCCTAACTTTAACTTGAGTGCTGTGAGTGGGGTTGGGTGACCTTACCTCCTCGTTAGTTAGCAAAGCAAAGACTCTTCGACCTTGACCCTCCTCCTGAGGCCTGGTATTCGGTTTATTATCCGTCTGAAGAGGATCTCGTGAAGAGTTCGAAACGTTACGATTCATATTAATTTCTCACTGTGGCTGTTTTCCTTTCATCTCTGTGTACACGTTACCATGTTTGTGTTTGTGTCACAAATATATATATACATATACATACATATTTATACATATATATACACACATATACATACATATGTATACACATATATACAGACATATACATACATATGTATACATATATATACACATATTATATATACACATACATATTAATATTTATATATATATATATATATATATATATATATATATATATATATATATATATATATATATATATATGTACATATATATATATATATATATATATATATATGTACATATATATATATATATATATATATATATATATCTGAATATATGTATATATATATATATATATATATATATATATATATATATATATATATATATATATATATATATATATATATATATATATATAACACGCACGTGCAAGACCCTATTGTCTTCCAATACGATCTCCTCAGTTGCCTTATCTTAATAACAAATAAACAAACAGTTATAAAAGAAATATAAACAAGACATTCACCACATATCTCTCGTTACATAACTGGGACACAGAGAGGGATGAAGCTGCTATATAATTTGAAGATGAATGTTATCTATAAAATGTACTGAGATAACACATGAGTACTCGAATAACACAGCATATTTACAGACAACCAGGGATTATTAACAAATTCGCAAATTTAAGATATTAACATTAATACGGCTACACTTAGAAACACATTGAGTCCCTGAACTTCATCGAACTGAAATTATAAAAGTATTAAATAAAATCAAATACGATACACACACCGAATGCATTCCGTATTAAAGAAATAGCAACTGCTAATATACGAAAAAAAGGAAAATATATGATACATAATTATGAAAAATAGTAAACAATATAAGAAGGCAGTGCATTTTAGTGAAATAATAACACTTTAACAGAAATTACTAAGGTCTTTAGAATAATCAACAGACGAAGTTCTTGAAAACGCGTACCTTTTTTTTCAACCTGATTAATTAATCAATAAATAACAACAAAAGTTATATTACCCATGGGATGTAGCGGTAGCGGGTTCGAAAATTGAAACACTTATTATTCATATATTCCGAAAGAGTAGGAAAAAATGCTCATGAGTCTTGGTAGGAAAAAACAGCTTAATCTTTATGTGGGAACAATAAAAAAAAAACGACAAAATTACTGATAGTGTACGTTGTCATTAATCATTATCTATACCCATCGTCTTTGCACGTGATCGTCCTCAAAAATATTGCGTAAACTGCATGGGTTGAATTGTGACGCATGTTTGTGCTCTCTTCTTTTCTTTTCTTTTGTATTTTCGTCTTTTCTATTTCTTTTTCTCTTACTCTCTTTTTCTTTTTCTTTTTTTTTGTATTTCTCTTCTTGATTTCTTTTTCTTTGTATTTTCCTTCTTGTTTTCTTTTTCTTTGTATTTTCCTTCTTGTTTTCTTTTTCTTTGTATTTTCCTTCTTGTTCTCTTTTTCTTTGTATTTTCCTTCTTGTTTTCTTTTTCTTTGTATTTTCCTTCTTGTTCTCTTTTTCTTTGTATTTTCCTTCTTGTTTTCTTTTTCTTTGTATTTTTCTTCTTTGCTTTCACTTCCCATCAGAGGGTTAAATATTCTTATTCTTTTCTTAGCTTCGTTTTCTTGGATTACCCGATAACACCAGAAAGCGTTGGGTATTCTTCATTTGATCTCAAGAGACTCCGTACTTGACAGGTTTTAGCTGCAGAGAAGATAATGACTACTTTCTGTGCATGTTTTCGGAAAGTCGGGGAGGAGTTTGAAGTTATGTTTTATAGCATCTTACTTGGAATTTACCGGTAAAGTAGCGTAATGGGTAGGTAAATAAAGTTGGAATTTCAAGTTCTCTATTTTTTTTTTTTTTTTTTATAACGGAAGGCTGTTTTGTACATGTTACTCAGTTTCGCTCTAGATAGGTTTGCAGACTTAAGTGCATTTTTAAACTTATGTGTTAATGTTTATATACAGTATTTATTTATGTACAGTATTTATGTAAGGCGCTCTTCCCAAGTAGACAGGTTCGCAAGTAATAAGTGCCTCACACAACTTGCTATATGTCGGGATGCTTTATTCCTTTACTGCCGGTCATGGGTTCATTGAGCAGCCTCAAGAGAGTGTTCACGCACACAGGGCACTGAGGAACGTTGGCGGGGATGTGAAAAGACAGGCAGGCAGCAATCCACAGTTAATTGGCAAGAATGAGTCACGTCGGGGAAAGGCAGTCACTCCACGCTTATTATTTCAGCTCTCTTTAGTATAACAGGATAAGCCAGATATGCCAAGCTGAACCTCGCCCGGTCTATGCCTATGCCGACTCGATGAAGATGTGTCAGTTGGTGCTGACTCGACTGAGCTCAGTGCTTCCCGTCGAGGGTCCCAATTTCCGCAATAACCTCTAGGCGACAAGTGCAACTTCTCGCGCCCCTCGGATGAGAGGCCTTTATGGGTTACCGTTGTAGTCTCTCCTCCCTTTCGCACTTTCCGCCATTCAGCCGCGCCCAGGGAGCCAATAGCCGCGCCTCGCTCCATCCTGCGGCCCCCAATCCCGCGGCCGCGGCTTTGGCGGGCTTCTCGCCGCACCCCCCCCCCCCCCCTCAAGTTGCAGGCGCGACGTGAACCTCAGTCACAGCTTGCATAACAGGACAGCGTAACGTAGTTGTCAATTATATTATTATTAGTTAGGATTGGGCGCACATAATGAGGCATATTATCGAAGGCTATTTCATGATTTGACTTGATTTTCGCGTTCGAGCCCAGTCGCATGCGGGTTTTTCTTTTAGGCGAGCGTTTTTTAATCTTGAATGCTGATCCTCCCTTCCGCGAACGCCTTTATTTTCCTCCGCTTTGAACACGAAGGGGTCCGCGCTAAGCTTTTTCTTCCCTTGACTTATTCTGGGACGTTAATAGACGCTACGGAGGATATTAGACTTCCCAGTCAACGCTGACATTTCAATTATTATACTGATAAGAAATCGAAATAAGAGACGTAAGCAGATGCCGCGCGCTCGAGGCAGATCCGGAGGGACAGCTGGCAGGAGGGGTGAGTTCAAAGGGACATGTAGTATAAGGTAGTGGCAGAGTTGGGTAATCAAACCTACATGAAATGATAGAACAACACAAACCAAGACTAAGTTCTTCTATGGCAATATGTGTGCAAATGCTTCCCCAGGGTGCTAGGCATATATATTACCACAGGGGTCCAGGGGGCAGAGCCTCTTGGCTAGGGAATATATATCACGGTGTTAGTTAGGCTGGATGCTTGGTTAGGACGTTTTGTTTACCAACCACGAGGGTTCTGTTTTACCCTGTAATTTCCCTGATATACTTCATGCCCTCCCCTGCTATTGGGACTATCAAATCAAGACTGTCGATGGAAATGGTGATCATATCTCCTTAATGATTCATTTGCACAAGGAACAATGCCTAGAATCGTTGAGAGCAGTGGATTTCATGCAGATATTTTTTTTTTTTCGAAAGTAACCCATTACCCTGTTCTACATATTGACTGGGGGGGGGGGGGTCTTCTCTTTTATGTATAGCAGCTTTGGGAAGCATTTGCATACATATTGCCATAGAAATAATGTCTTGGTTTGTATTGCTCTATCATTTCATGTAGGTTTTATTATCCAACTCTGCCACTACCTTATCCTACATATTGACCGTTCAAAGTTTTTATTTTCATTTTGTGGTCTTAATCTACCTTTTCCAGCAGTCTTTGGGCAAGGCATTCAGGTCTGAGCAGACTCCCAAAATTAACGGTAAATGTTTACAGAACAACTCTTGTCCCTTAATTGCATACGCATCTTGGTCTCCCTGAATTCAACTGCAAATATTCTGGCAAGATTGAATATGATACGCTTCCCTGTTGCATATCATCAAATAAGGAACCAATCCAAGCTCTAATTTGCCAAAATGAAGTACAGAGCCTTCAGCTGCTGCTTTACAGGAGGTCAAACTAACGTATTGTTGGTCTTACTTCCCAAATCGCAAGGTTGCAAGTAGAACTACAAATATTATTGAAAATAAGATCTGTGAATTTAATTTCTGGCATTTGTTCTGAGAATACATTTTGACAGGCATACACTCACATCAGGATAGACATATATATCTGTAAAAAGTAAATACATAGTTTATTTATGTCATATAGCAAAGGAAAGATTGTGTAATATATCTTAAATAGCATTTGAAAATAATGTGGATATAATGCTTGCGATTCATATATATACTTCATAAACATTTTGCTGGACTTGGTGCAGTGTGCTGCTCCTAGCCGCTCTATATGTGGGGCAGCTAGGAGCACTCTATGTGCGGGACCTGCAGAGCGAGGAACACCTGCAAAATCTTAATGATACAGAAAAGTGCAGGGGAAACTCGTTCTAGGAAAAACCCACTCCTTGAGAATGCTTAATAATAAGTCCCTGTTACTCCAGACACTCCAGGGAATCCACATACTTCATCATATGAACCAAAAGCCTTCCTAACCCAGGGGATTCATCCCCAGACCTCCATTCAATTGCTGTATTTCACAATCAGGGGGTCTGCCCCCAGATCCTTACCTGATGACTGTTGACTTACTGCGTAGCTTTTGTCTTGATCCATCTTCATTTCTGACGTTATTCTTTGTCTGCCTAACTTTCTTATTATTAGCTTGCAAAGGAAGTAATATAGATGAAGAGTGTCATAATTTTTATCAAGCCATTGGATCTGGATGCTTCACTGTGACCCAAAACACAGGCATTAGGCTTATATAAGTAGAGACACTGCCATGTGTGTAACTTGTTGGCTGGGTGTACGCAAGTGACACCTCCTTTGTGTGATGACAAAACTCCATGCCACCTCCATGCAATATTATTTTCTAATTTTCTGCATAAGTGTTTTAGCATTTAAGCCATTTCCCAGTATCTGTATTTGTCATTGGATATGCTTTATCCAGAAGGTAATAGACTTTTTCATATCATATCTTTAGGTAGTCTTAAAGTCAGTGCAATGATAATAACTTTAAAGAACAATTTGTTATTTATGTGTGTGTGTTTTTATTATTATTATTATTATTTTTAATGTTAATTTTTCTGTAATACAACCCATGCCACCAGTTATAGCAGACATGAGCAGGGTCTTGAACATGGAAATAGAGCCCTCATGGCTCACGGGCATTAAATTCCACACTTGTTTATTAATGGAAATAATGGAAAAACCCTTTCCTAAATGCCAAATGAGTCAGATCACCCTCTAAGAGGTTTGTGCACACGTGGCAAGTCTTTCTTATTACCCTGGCCTTCACCCGAAATGCTCACAGCAGTGGTCACGTCATCTGGGGTTAATTTGTGGTAATTATTTGTACTAAATCTTCTTTGCCCATATTAATAATGTAATGATACCAGTAATATTGTGAGTGATGAGTCCTATGATTGCCAACAAACTTCCATCACATAGATATACTTGACTTGATAGAATTAGAATTGCTTTATATAAAAACATCATGTCACCAGGATGGTCTATAAATTCTGTCTTGCCAGAACATACATGCTTGAGGTTTGTTAATTTTTTACAGGAGTGAGGAAGGTATGGAGCTCAACAGTGAGTACTGAAATCACTGCAGACATATTTTTGATAAGTGATCATGGGTTGACCTTCACTTTCAATAGATTATTTTCTGTACGAGTTGTTTTATGTCTTCTGTAAAAGCTTTTCTTTATTTTTTTTCTGTTTTCAGTCCGTATTTCAGGTTGTTGTTGGGAGGGAGATTCACAATGCTCCTAATGAAAATTTTCAAAGGGAATTAAATTATAGAGAAACTACTTTTGCCCCATATTCATGTGAGCAGATGAATGGATGTTTTAATAAAATGTAGTTTGAATTTCTTTTGTTTATTTTGAGAGTATTGTTTAGAAGCCATACCGGAACTGAATATATATTCTACCAGTAGGGCTGCCACCATTTATATATTTATTGCTGATGATTTGTCATGAAAAACTAACTCCTTGTTTTTTCACATAATTTACTTCCAGATATTGTATACCTCCTCAATATTCATATTCTTGTGCTTAATTTTGTTCTTATTTTTCGTAGACATATTATTTCATTATTATTATCATTAGTCTATAAACCTAATGGTACCCATATATCTTTCATGTGTGGACATCAATTATAAGAATGAAGTAACTTGAGGATAGTGCAAGAAGGGCATATGCATAGATAATTTAATATAATTTTATGCACAATAATTTTCTTCTTCTTCTTCTTCTTCTTTCAACTTGTTCAATTGCCTTTATTTTCCAGGAGGCAGCACAAGACAGCAATCTGCAAGGCCAAAGAGAAATGCTCCCAGGCCAGTTGTGATTAGTCTGGATGTTACCGACTCGAGTGAGGAAGACAGTTTAAGTGACTATGCACCTTCTCCAAGTCCAGAAGCCCCAAAAGAAGATGAGCAGCCTCTTTTTACACCTAGGTAAGCTGCATGCAAATGGGAAGGGATAATACAAAATTAGGATAAAGTTTTAAGGATAAAATGGATCACAGACCATGGAAAGAGGATAGGATATTTTCCCCTATTTCTTTCTTTCTGTCTCCTTTTCTTTTTTTCTTTTTTTATTATCAGTTAAAAAAAAATGTATTACCTTATTTCCCTCATGATTTTTCCTTATACTTAGTGTCTACAATGTTTAAGCTCCCTTTTTATCCATTATCATAGCAATACTTCCTCCAACAGCCCTCCTCGAGAGAAGCAAGTTAGCCGAGGCATTATGTCAGATTCCGATTCTGAACCTGAATCTGACTGCGAGGAGGTGGTTCCAGTTGAGGTTACATCTGGTACAAAGAAACGAAAGATAGATCATTCACCTGACAACTCTTATGATGATCCCAGTGACGACCTTTTTGCTATTGATTTTAACTGTGAGTGACGGGTAGACTTTTTTTTTATCCTTTTTGCATGAATTAATAGTTAATTATCTTTTTAGGTATTGTGTGTATATGAAATGAAATATGATTATACAAATATGGATAAGCATGCTATATCCACACTTGTTTCCTTTTTTTTTTTCTTTCTTTCTTTCTTATCTTTCTTTAACCCATTTGCCCTGGATTTATGTTCTGTCCCCTGTAGTTTTTGGTGAATTTTGTTACATACAGATGGCTTCACATGTGCTCAGCCAGCAAGGAGTCTATCAGTAGGCCCTAGTTACCAACCCCGATTTTCCTATTCATTGAATTGGCGGGAAAATTATTACCATTGTTATCAGTATTGTTATTATTGTTATTGATGTTATGATTATTAAATTGTCATTAGAATATTTTAGACAATGAAATGATACAAAAAACCCATTCCTAAAGTGAAGCAACGGGAAACCACCTTCGTACGCTCCCTTGTACAACCATGAAATTAAAACATGGTCGCCAACGTCAGGCTCTGATACGGCACTAAAAAAAAAAAAAAAAAAAAAAAAAAGTGAAGGAAAAGGGTAATCAGGTGAAATGGGTAGTTCTTGATAACCGGCTATTTGGTGATTAAGAACTTGTGGAGCCATCTACGTGTAAATACAATAAATAAACATGTATCAAAGTGGGCATGGCATCTATTCTTGCCACGTGAGGCGAATGGGTTAATAGTTGCAGTATCTATTATACAAATGTTATTATCCCAATTACTAATTGGATTATTAGTCAGTGCCTCCTGATAGTAATTTTTTATGTACTGATGCTGTATCATACAGTAAAATCTAGAATATCATAAGTTGCTGTTGACACATTTCTGAATTTATCATTTCTGAATTTATTTCTTACAAGCTTGCCGTAGTAATGCCAAGAAGGATGCCATGAAGGAAATGAATGAAATTATGACCGTTGAAAAAGAACGCGACAAGGAGAAACTGAAGAAAGACGTCGAAAGCTCAGAGCTAGCAGATCTGTCCGATTTGGTCGATGAAAGGAGCCGTGCTGAGGACGAGGTCATTGTGATTGGGGAACCTGGGTAAGTGAGAGTAACGAGGAAGATTTTCTCATAAATGTTTATGTAGATTTGTTTCTTGAAGTGAAGATTTTCAATGTTTGATTTCATTTCTGCAATATACGACATGTACATAAGGCAAAAAGTACTGGTGTCAAGGTGGTCAGGATTAACATGCATGTGGTCTTGTCCTTATGGGTCATAAGGACCAGATCACAAATATTTTACTCAGTTCTCAGTTTCTCTAATGCTTTACGTAAGATTTTTTGTTTTCTTTCTTTATTTGTTTATTTTAATACCTTTTGTACATACAGTAAGTCCCCAACTTAAGAACATAATGGGGACTGAGAGGCTTTTTGTAAGTTGATTTGTTTGCATGTCGAAAGTCGAGTCTCCGTTACCTTTTTTCCCATTGTTTTAAAGTT